TCAGGCACTTATCCCGAAAATAAGCTAACTTAGCCAAATAAGAGCTTAATTGAAGCAATTCTGGGATTAAACAAAGAAAGGAGCAAAGTGGAGAAAGAAGAAAGCAAATGAAGCCAAAGGTGATAAGCAACAAAGTTCGATCGATCCAAGTTCAGGATTCGATCGATCGAACAATGATTGATCTCAGCACTTCAAGATAGATCCAAGCCTTGGCCCAAAAGCATAAAGTCCAAAAGTTCGATCGATCCAACATCATCCTTCGATCGATCGAACACTTTTGTCCTTATTCAAATGATTGATCCTATCCACAGCTGTACCACCCACTAACCACTTTTGTCCTTTTCCCATAAATATCTCCCAAAATATCTCGGATTTATCTTTTTCCTAGAAAGCTCAGCCAGTTGGATCGATCCAGCCTAAGTTCGATGGATCTCAGCCAGTTCGATCGATCCAAGTCCAAGGTTCGATCGATCGAACTTCATCTAGTGCAAAAAAGTTAAATTTCCATCTCATTGAAAGTTGTCCTTTATCCAATCATTATGGAATATCGTGTGCACCACCCCAGCTCATTTTGGGTGTCATTTTAACCTACCTATATAAGGATAAGGCTTGTTTTTTACAAGGGGAGCCAACATTATTTTCATATCATCTCTTGGAAAGGAAGTTTAGAGAAAGGGGAGGCTAGAGACACCATTGGAGACTCTCCATCAACCAAGGAGCAAATCTCTTCCATGAAGTTAGCCCTTGAGGGTTAGAGCAACATCACCATGAGTGCCTAGACATCCTCTTGGGGCTAGAGTTAGCCCTAAGCATGCTTTCTATATCTTAATCTTATGTATTATTAAGGGATTAGTGTTGTAATTAATGTTTTGGCATTTTGATATATATAGATCTTGTTTATTCAATTATTTATGTGATTTAATGCTTCCAATTGATCATTTCATTCTATCCATATGTCTATATATACTAGAATAAATGTTCATGTGCTTGCCTCTAATTCTTAAGTTATTGATGAATGTCTATGTGTATTAATGTTATAGATTTAGAGATTGTCAAAACATTGTACTTTAAAGAATGCTCTTATGATTTTCTAGATAGTCCATGCTTATTTCTTGATGGATTATGCCTCTCCCTTAGCTTAATTAGTTTAATTTTATGTCATTAGCTTAATTGTAGTGTAGGGATAGCATAGTTGTTAGATGAGAGGACAATCCATGCTAGTTGTTTGATGTTCCATACTTTTGAATGTAAGTAGCATATGTCTCTAACCTTGTGGTGTATTTGGCTTGTGAGCTTAATGATAGGATTAATGATTTGCTAGATATGTTGTGCTTTTCACATGCTATTTAGACAATATATACTTAATTGCTAGATATATTATGCTTTTCACATGTTGATTAGACAATGTATGCTTAATTGGTCACCCTTGCTAATTGAATCAACCAAACACACACACACAAATATTGCAACACACTTTACCCTCATTAGTCACTAGTTGGAAGTGTAGAAAAGCATTGCTTGGTGGTGACCTCTAAACCCCAAGATCTCTCTCTCTCTTGCTTACTCTTTGTTACATTCAATTACTTAGTTTAATTTAGTTGTTCTCTAGTTTAATTAACCAACCAACCATTTGTTTGATCACTCGACCTGCTAACCCTAATTGCGATTCCACATTCAAGTACGACTCCAATCCCTTGGGACGATCCCTACTCGCCCTAGCTATATTTATAGCGAAAGGTAGTAGTGGCTTCTATAAATGTAAAACTCTTGGCCCTTACCTTAGAATTCACACTCTTAAGCTTATGGTGTAACGACACTCAAAAGAGAGCCAACAAGTTTTTGGCGCCGTTGCCGGGGATCAAGCAACGACGTATTTGTGGAATCAATTAGGAATTAATACTCTTTTGATCGTGTTTTTACTTTGTTTTATTTTTTTTCTTTAGATTACTTATTGTGTTTGTTCATCTTTGACAAGGAGCATTGAGTTAGAAGGCAAGCAAAGGAGCCATCAAGTAAAGGAGCTAAGCAAGAAAGGAAAAGTGCTAAAAATAAAATAAAATAAAATAAAATAAAAATATTTTGCTAAGCTAAGCTTTAAATTTGGAGTTGAAGTGCTAAAGGACCTTTGTGAGACTCTCTTACTCAATCCCTTTGTTAAATCATCGACCCGCGTGGAGGCTTGTTTTTGAATTCTTAAATAAATCGTGAGCCTGCGTGGAGGCAATTTACTTTTCTTTGCATTGCTATGAAAACATGGGAGTACGGGAACATTTTATGTGGAGGAAGCTTGTTGATTGTTAGTTTGTTGCGAAGGAGGAGTACTTACTTATTTTGTGGTGATTTGTGTGTCATTTTTAGTCTTGCATAGACCTTGTCATACCATTCATTCTAGGCATTCACATGGAAAATTGAGAGGGTAATCTTGGCTACTTAAGCGACGCTTCATGCAAAACCTACCTCTTAATCAACATGACCCCATAGTTTAAGCCCCAATTCCTCCAATGGTCCTTCGTGATCATTATAATCTTCATGCATACCATGCACCTACTTGCATTGTGTTGCCTAATTTTGAGGCTAATCAATATGAAATCAAGCCCGAGACCATTCAAATGTGTCCACTCTTTTATGGCTTGGATGAAGAGGAACCATATAAGCATCTTAATGAATTTCTTGAACTATGTTCCACCGTGAGGTACATGGATGTCCCAGAGGAAGTTCTTAAATTACTCCTCTTCCCTTCCACACTTAAAAATAAAGCAAAGCATTGGTTCAATACTTTAGGGGTGAATTCAATAACATCTTCGGCACAAATGCAAAATGAGTTTTTAAAAAAATTTTACCCCGTAAGTTTGACCAATGTAATGTGTGCTTCAATTAGAGAATTTTCTCAAAGGGAAAGAGAGTTGTTGCATGAGGTTAAAACTCTTTCTCAAAAACTTGATCAATTTTTGTTGAATCAAAAACCGGCTACCAATGCATCTCCTTTTCATCATATAACTCATCTTTATGAGCCTTGCATGACATATTCAAGTGTTTTGCATTCTACTTTCAATTGTCCCCGTGAACATGTTGTTAATAAACACTTTGAACAAGTTAATGCCACATTTGCTCACCCTTACTCAAAAGCATATGTTCCATTGTAGAACGAAAACCGTTATCAAGCTAAAAATCTTCAAAGAAAATACATTCCACCTCATAAAACAAATGGAGGTTCTCAAGGGTTCGTTTCTTCTTCTTTCCATCATCAAAGAATGAATGACTTCTCACATCCTCAAATGTATGATTCCCAAGTTGGCTTCCATTATCCTCAAGCACTTTCTAGTAATTCTACATTTAAAGACAAGGTTTTGATGGCCTTGGGTAGCTTAGAAAAGGATACCAACTTGTTACATTCCCATTCTCAATCTATATCAAAGCTTGAATCCCAAATTAGGACCATAGCTAATGCATTGAATGCAAGAGAAATTAGGAAATTGCCTAGTTAACCCGAGAGGAATCCAAAGGCCCAATTTTGTGTGGAAGCAAACCCTACATCGGGGTATTCTTCCCAAGCTCAAGCGCAAGCCATCACCACCTTGAGAAGTGGTAAGATAGTGGACAATAGGGTTGAGCTACCAAAGGAAGATAGTGAATCGGTGTAACCTAAAGTTGTTACCCATCCAATTTCCAATTCTACTCCTACTCCTTTGAATGAAAATGTTCCTAACCAGAATTCTCAATCTTCTTCATCACCCTCTCAAATTATAAATTCTTGTGAGCCAAAAGCTCCATTCCCTTATGCTTTAAAAGAAACTTCGCCTCATGGGAGGCAAGAAGAAAAAACACATGACATGATGGAAGTTTTTAAGCAAGTCAATATCAATCTTCCTCTTTTAGATGCCATTAAGCAAATTCCACCTTATGCAAAATTCTTGAAAGATCTTTGCACATAAAAGAGGAAGAGCAAGGGACCAAGCCCTAAAAAAGTGTTCCTCACGGACCAAGTGAGCTCCATTCTTCAACAAAACACTCCACTTAAGTTCAAAGATCCCGGTGCTCAGACTATTTCTTACGTAATTGGAACTCATGAAATTCGTAGAGCTCTTCTTGACTTAGGTGCGAGTGTCAATTTGATTCCTTACTCCGTATATGTCCAATTAGGGTTGAATGAATTGAAGCCAACCTCGGTGGTGCTTCAAATGGCCGATAGATCCGTCAAAACACCTAGGGGCATGGTTGAGGACATTCTTGTCAAGGTAGATAAATTCTACTTTCCGGTTGATTTGGTAGTTCTTGATACTGAACCGGTTGCTAATCCTTCCAACCACATCCCAATCATCTTGGGAAGACCATTCCTTGCCACCGCAAATGCAACAATTAATTGTAGATTCGGGATTATGGACCTCTCTTTTGGCAATATGATGATCAAACTTAATGTTTTCCATGCAAGTCGACATCCCATGGATGAAGATGAGTGTTGCCTTGTAGATGTGTTAGATGAGGTTGTTAAGGAATCGATTCCAACGATGCTAATGAAACAACCAATTGAGTATAGTCTTTCATCTCTTTTATTTGATGATCCTCTAGCCTCTTGCCTTCTTGAAATGTACCGAAGTTGTGGATTTAATGATGAAAATTCAATGAATGAAGTAAGCAATCTCATGGAATCCGTTGCAAGCTTAGATTTTCCATCTTGGAAAACTCCAATAGAACCTCTTCCTCCACTCTCTAGCACTCCACCGGTCTCATCTTTAGTCTCTCCACCAATTCTTGAGCTTAAAACTCTACCTTCCAATCTCAAGTATGCATTCTTAGGACCAAAAGAGACTCTTCCGGTTTTCATTTCTTTGAGCCTTGAAAAAGACCAAGAAGATGCTCTCTTAAGTGTGCTTAAAGAAAATAAGGAAGCCATAGGATGGAGTGTGGCAGATCTTAAGGGAATTGACCCTTCCATTTGTATGCATCGCATACTTATGGAAGATGATGTAAAACCCTTTAGGGATGCTCAAAGGAGACTTAATCCAAACATGAAAGAGGTAGTTAAGAAGGAAGTTGTCAAACTCTTGGATGCCGGAATTATTTACCCAATCTTCGATAACAAATGGGTGAGTCCAACTCAAGTAGTTCCCAAAAAATCAGGGATTACGGTGGTTGAGAATGCAAAGGGTGAGGAAATCTCTAAGCGTACCGCCAATTCATGGCGTGTATGCATTGATTACCGTAAATTGAATGCCGCCACTAGAAAGGATTATTTCCCTTTGCCATTCATTGATCAAATTCTAGAGAGATTGGCCGAGCAACAATATTATTGCTTCCTTGAAGGCTATTCAGGCTACAACCAAGTGGCCCTCGACCCATTAGACCAAGAAAAAACCACCTTTACATGTCCATTCAGCACCTTTGCTTATAGACGGATGCCTTTTGGCTTGTGCAATGCACCTGCCACATTCCAAAGGTGTATGATGTCAATTTTCTCGGATATGGTGGAAGAGTATCTAGAGGTCTTCATGGATGATTTTTCTGTTTTTGGGTCCTCATTTGATGCATGCCTCAAAAACTTAGATCTAGTGCTTAAGAGATGTCGTGAAACCAATCTTGTACTTAGCTGGGAAAAGAACCATTTTATGGTTCAAGAAGGTATTGTTTTGGGTTACGTTATCTCAAGGAAAGGAACAGAGGTAGAAAAAGCGAAGGTCGAGCTTATTTCTGAATTGCCTCCACCTTCAACGGTGAGAGAGGTTCGCTCCTTTCTAGGTCATGCGGGCTTTTACCGCCGTTTTATCAAAGACTTTAGCAAAATTGCTCGACCCTTGTGCAATCTTCTTGCCAAGGAAACTCCTTTCGTCTTTGACCAAGCATGCCTAGACGCTTTTCATAAATTACGTGAATTATTATCATCTGCTCCTATCATGCAACCTCCCAATTGGTCATTGCCATTTGAAATCATGTGTGATGCTTCTAATTATGCCATGGGGGCAGTTTTGGGACAAAGAGTGGGTAAGCTTCCTTGTGCCATATACTATGCAAGTAAAACTTTCTCGGGAGCTCAATTGAATTACTCCACTACCAAGAAAGAATTACTTGACGTAGTATATGCTCTTGATAAATTTCGTTCCTATCTCTTAGGGTCCAAGGTTATCGTTTATTCTGATCATGCCGCCTTGAGGCATCTATTGACAAAAAGGGAAATAAAACCTAGGCTAATTAGATGGATTTTGCTTTTTCAGGAATTCGATTTTGAAATCAAGGACAAGAAAGGCACCGAAAATGTGGTTGCCGATCATCTTTCTAGGTTATCGATAGAGCCTTTCCCCAGTCTACCAATCTGTGACTCTTTTCCGAATGAACAACTCTTCCAAATTTCTAATGGAAAAATGCCTTGGTTTGCCGACATTGTGAACTATTTGGCAGTAGGCAAGCTACCAACTTCTTGGTCAAAGAACGAAAAGAATCGTTTCTTTGCCAACATCCGGAATTACTATTGGGAAGACCCTGTCTTGTACCGATATTGTCTGGATCAAATTGTGAGAAGATGCATTCCAGAGAGTGAAATTCCAAGTGTCCTAGTATTTTGTCACACTCTTACATGTGGTGGGCATTTTAGTGAAAAGAAGACCGCCTTGAAGGTTCTTCAAAGTGGGCTCTTTTACCCCACTATTCATAGAGATGCCTACAATTTTTGCAAATCATATGAGAGATGTCAAAAGATGGGGACAATGTCTAGAAGAGATATGATGCCCTTGACCAATATACTTGTTGTTAAGATCTTTGATATATGGGGCATTGATTTTATGGGTCCATTTCCTATGTCCTATGGTTTTCAATACATTCTTCTTGCCGTTGATTATGTTTCCAAGTGGGTGGAAGCATGTGCTACCAAAACAAATGACCACTCCGTGGTCATTCAATTCATCAAATCCAATATCTTTGCTCATTTTGGAATGCCAAGGGCTATAATAAGTGATGGAGGAAAACATTTTTGCAATCAATTCTTGAGGCACATATTTCTTAAGTACTCCGTCACTCATAAGGTAGCCACTCCCTACCATCCTCAAACAAGCGGGCAAGTTGAAGTGTCTAACCGAAAAATTAAGTATAGTCTTGAGAAAACGGTTAACACCACCCGAAAGTATTGGTCAAGAAAGCTAAATGATGCTTTGTGGGCTTATCGGACGGCATACAAGACTCCCATTGGCATGTCTCCTTATAAACTTGTATATGGAAAACCTTGCCATCTTCCGGTTGAGCTAGAGCATAAAGCCTTATGGGCAGTTAAAAAGCTCAATTTTGACCTTGATAAAGCCGGAGAGAATAGGTTACTCCAATTAAGCGAGTTAGAAGAGTTGAGACACAATGTTTATGATAATGCCAAAATCTACAAAGAACGAACCAAAGCCTTTCATGATAAGCATATTGTGAAAAAGTCTTTGAAACCCGGTCAAAAAGCTTGGCTTTTCAACTCTAAACTGAAACACTTTCCTGGGAAATTATGAACCAAATGGGAAGGTCCTTATGAAATCATCTCTGTTGCACCTCATGGGGTGGTTGAAATCAAAAACTTGAAGAAGGGCAACATTTTCAAAGTTAATGGTCAAAGATTAAAACCTTACATAGAGGGTCAAGTCTTTCAAAAACATTTTGAAGCTGCACATCTAGTTGACCCGGTGTATGAGCATATAGAAGATTGCATTGACAAGGAACCAAAAGCTCCTTTTGAGCTTAAAGCAACACATTCTTCGAAGAAACATTTGTTGGGAAAAGTTCAAATAACCATTCATCACCCCAATAAGGAGGGGATGCATAACAAAATCTTTGATCCAGGCTAAAAAAGCCCAACGTCTTGCTAGAGACGTTAAAGACTAGCAAAGGTATTCGTAGGGTGTCAAAACCCTATTCCTCCATCATTTCTATTTTTCATTTTATTTTTTGCGGAGTCTATATACTTGTTTTTAGTTCTCATGTGCATTGAAAGGAACTTTGGTGAGGATTGCATGAGCTTTCATGTCATTATTGAGCATTCTGCATAGTTCGATCGATCTCAAACCTGAGTTCAATGATCGAACTCTACTCTACATCCAACACTTAGAAAATTTTCTGACCTGCAGAAACCTGCATCCAAATCACCTCTCTGTCCCATCGTTCGAACTAACTCTTAGATCGATCAAGAGACCTTCGATCGATCCAACTTCCTAATTCGATCGATCTCATGATTCAACACTTAGAAAAATTTTGAGCCTGCATCCACCTGTATATTTTTGCTCTCTGTCTAATCGATCGAAACATTCCAAGATCGATCTGAAGTTCTTCGATTAATCCAACTTCCAAGTTCGATCGATCTCATGATCCAACACTTAGCCAAATTTTTGAACCAAAAACCTGTATATTTTTGCTCTCTGTCTGATCGATCGAACTCTTGTTCTGATCGATCTCAATTCTCCATTTCACTGCTTGACTTTGTTTTAACTTTTCAAATTTCAAAAATCCAAAAATATTTTCATTTTTATTTTCTTGTTTATTCAATGAAAAAAAAAAAAAAAAAAAAAATCATTCCAAGTTCGATCGATCTGAGATTCTAGTTCGATCGATCGAACTCATATGCAACAGTTTTAAATAAAGGATAAGATCCCATTCTCCCCCATTTTTAAACCCTAGTTCCTACGCCATCATAACCACACCCATCTCCTCCGTCTCCGGCTAGATCTCCATAGTGAACCAAGTGTCGATCTCTCCCTCTTCTCAGATCTTCTTCCTCTTCACCTTTCATCTCTCCTCTCTTTACTTCAAGGTAAGATCTGAGACCCCATTATTGATTTCACACCTCGATTTGTTAAGAGTATGCTTTATGTGTTTGATCCGTTCCACTATTCATGATAATTGTTGGCCATGGATGAAGTTTTAAGCTTTTCATGTCTATATGCCCATTTTCGTCTTTATGCCATATCCATTGTAATGAGTTGCTTTGATTTTTGGGAGTGTGAGCCATTCTAGGTGATTGTGATTGATGATTGCTGAGTTGATGGGCCCACGAACATGTTCGTGTGGGTCCCGTGATCCCACAGTCACAGATCTGTGACTTCTCATTTTTCACAAAACACAGTTCGATCGATCGAACTTGTGCTCCAAATCGATCGAATATATGAGATCGATCTCACTTATTTTCGATCGATCCAACTTTTGTGATCGATCTCACTTCTTTTTCTAATCGATCGAATTTCACAGATCTCACTCACACACTTCATTCATCTTGTGTTCACTTCATACTATCATTTCTATGCCCAATGCCTGTGATATTCCACATTGGATGCATTTCATACTTATATTGCTTAGCATACTTCACATCCTGTCACATGCATAAATTTATGCCATATATGTTTTGTCTATCCTATTTGACAAATATGTTTCTATTATGCCTTTAATTCATTATTCTAGCACTTAATTCCATTGCAAGATTTCCTTTCTGCAGACCATGACTAAGAATGACAGCTCTTCCACTTCAGCCACACCTGAGGCTCATGATCAAATATGTCGCTTAGAGGAGCACCTTCAGAGTTTGGAGGATATGCTGGTTACCCTTAGAGCTGACATTAGTACCCTTCGTCTGAATATGATGGCTGCCATTCGAGCTAACATTTCTCGCCTCCGTACGGAGATCTTGACTGCCATTGATGACTTAGCCAGGGAGATCTGCGGAGCTCCCTCTGCCTGACACTCTCAATCTCTTTATCTTTTTATACTCTCTATCTATGTTATGTGTCTGCTACACTTGTGATACTAGTATTTTTGCAGCCGGGTCTGTCGGCTTTGACACTGGATGTATTACACTTTATTGTTGTTTTTCTCTATGATGGATGTCGTATGTTTTTATTGATCCATCTATCCTTTTAATTCCATCAAGTGCATCTCAATGACTTCAGTGAGGGAGTGTGACCAATTTTCAGGACCACCCTTACACCTCTCTCATTTCTTTATCTGTTTATCCCATTTACACTTGCATGTCCACTGTGCACTGATTATCCCATGTTGTTATCTGATAAGTTCATCCAAGTGCCAATTTTCAGGACCAGTTCATCCCAAGTTTGGGGGGGGGGGGGGGCATGCCACCCACTTCGGATACTTCAGTCCCGATCATTCTTGCTTAGTTGCACTAGTATACTCTTTCCATTATTCTCTTTGTACATTGAAGACAATGTGCCATTTTAGTTTAGGGGGAATAGTGTTTTACAGTGTTAGTTTTAAATTCAAATTTTGAGCATGACTTGTGTATTTGAGGGATATTTCTATGATTAGTCCATATCTAGCTATGATTTTGATCTTTTAAGGACTATATTGCTTAAAATTTAAAAATTGCTTGACTTGAGAGTCTAATACTCCTTGTATGCCTTAGGGATGCCATTTAGGAGTAAATTTTTTTAAAAATTGATATCATGCTTGCACTTGTGGTCCACATCATCTTGATTTTGTGATTGTTTTGAGATTCATTTTAGGATTCTACACTAGCATAGGCGCACACTAGCATTCATTTATGGGGTATATGCTTTGTTGATTATTGAATTGGTCATATCCCAATTGAGCTAGTAGTGCATTGAAAGCTTTTATTCTTGATAAAGGTGGATAACAACCCCTTTTCACTAAGTAGCCGGGATTCTAGCCTCATCAAGTACTGAATTTCTCGCGCCGAAAGGTGGAAGGCCTAAACTCTAGGTTAATAATTGAATTCCAAAAAAAAAAATAATAAATAAAATAAAAATAAAAAAAGTGAGGACTTCTCCCAAAAGGTGAGAAGTAGGAAATGATTAGATGGTTGTTGCCTTGATTTGTAGCCTAGTTGATTTGAGCTTGTAAGTCCGTAGGGGTATTTGAATGCCTAATGCCCTAAAGCCATCTGGTTTGGGAGTCATTGACCTAACGCTCGACCTCATGAATCACTAGAAAGCTTAATAGATCAACACATTACACCATACTTCCATCTTTGATCCTAATATATATATATATATCGAGTTAAAAGAATAAGCGCACCTAAAACAATGAAGCTTTAATAAAAGGTCCACTTTTTGTCTTGATGATCGGTACTAGATTTGTGTGCTAGTTTGAGGGTAAGGATGTGATTAATTCTTTAGTTGGCTAAGATAGCAACACATTTGATGCCAGTCCACTCAAAAGGATTCTAGAGTTGTTTTGATTTACATGATCATTTTCTTGATGTGTGGAGGATCATACTTGCTTGCTTGATGTTAAGATTTTGGGAGATTGCTTGGAAATGTTTGAAAAATTGCATACTTGAGGTAGTTTTCTCCCAATGCTTGTTTGCAATATTGGTGCCTCTTTTGAAAGAATGAGCTTAATGTTTATGGGTACCATTTTTGGAAACCCTCATGAGACTTCACTCGTCCACTAGGGGTAACCTAGGGGTTTAAAAGGCTTGTTGCATGTGCTAAGTGCAATCATGTTCCCTACGAAAGTGGCATTATCCATTTATTGTTTTCTAGATTCATAGTTATATAGTTGTTCATTTCATTCATTTCCTTTCTAGTTCATTGCTAGGGACTAGCAATATTTAAGTTTGGGGGTGTGATGAACGCTGAAAAGTGCGTATTTAAACCCCTTAAGCTTAAGCATTCTAGTACCTTTATCTATCTTACTTTACCATTTTTGATTGATTTCGTATTATTTCCATTTTCAGGCACTTATCCTGAAAATAAGCTAACTCAGCCAAATAAGAGCTTAATTAAAGCAATTCTGGGATTAAACAAAGAAATGAGCAAAGTGGAGAAAGAAGAAAGCAAATGAAGCCAAAGGTGACAAACAGCAAAGTTCGATCGATCCAAGTTCAAGGTTTGATCGATCGAACAATGATCGATCTCAACACTTCAAGATAGATCCAAGCCTTGGCCCAAAAGCATAAAGTCCAAAAGTTCGATCGATCCAACACCATCCTTCGATCGATCGAACACTTTTATCCTTATTCAAATGATTGATCATATCCACAGCTATACCACCCACTAACCACTTTTGTCCTTTTCCCATAAATATCTCCCAAAATATCTCGGATTTGTCTTTTTCCTAAAAAGCTCAGCCAGTTGGATCGATCAAGCCTAAGTTCGATGGATCTCAGCCAGTTCGATCGATCCAAGTCCAAGGTTCGATCGATCGAACTTCCTCCAGTGCGAAAAAATTAAATTTCCATCTCATTGAAAGTTATCCTTTATCCAATCATTAGGGAATATTGTGTGCACCACCCCAGCTCATTTTGGATGTCATTTTGACCTACCTATATAAGGATAAGGCTTGCTTTTTACAAGGGGAGCCAACATTATTTTCATACCATCTCTTGGAGAGGAAGTTTAGAGAAAGGGGAAGCTAGAGACACCATTGGAGACTCTTCATCAACCAAGGAACAAACCTCTTCCATGGAGTTAGCCCTTGAGGGTTGGAGCAACATCACCGTGAGTGGATTAGTGTTGTAATTAATGTTTTGGCATTTTGATATATATAGATCTTGTTTATTCAATGATTTATGTGGTTTAATGCTTCCAATTGATCATTTCATTCTATCCATATGTTTATGTATGCTAGAATAGATGTTCATGTGCTTGCCTCTAATTCTTAAGTTATTAATGCATATCTATGTGTATTAATGTTATAGATTTAGGGATTTTCAAAACATTGTGCTTTAAAGAATGCTCTTGTGATTTTCTAGATGGTCCATGCTCATTTCTTGATGGATTATGCCTCTCCTTTAGTTTAATTAGTTTAATTTTATGTCATTAGCTTAATTGTAGTGTAGGGATAGCATAGTTGTTAGATGAGAGGACAATCCATGCTAGTTGTTTGATGTTCCATACTTTTGAATACAAGTAGCATATGTCTCTAATCTTGTGGTGTATTTGGCTTATGAGCGTAATGATAAGATTAATGACTTGCTAGATATGTTGTACTTTTCACATGCTATTTAGACAATATATACTTAATTGCTAGATATATTGTGCTTTTCACATGTTGATTAGACAATGTATGTTTAATTGGTTACCCTTGCTAATTGAATCAACCAAACACACACACACAAATATTGCAACACACTTTACCCTCATTAGTCACTAGTTGGAAGTGTAGAAAAGCATTGCTTGGTGGTGACCTCTAAACCCCAAGATCTCTCTCTCTCTCTTGCTTACTATTTGTTACATTCAATTACTTAGTTTAATTTAGTTGTTCTCTAGTTTAATTAACCAACCAACAATTTGTTTGACCACTCGACCTGCTAACCCTAATTGCGATTCCATATTCAAGTACGACTCCAATCCCTTGGGACAATCCCTACTCGCCCTAGCTATATATATAGTGAAAGGTAGTAGTGGCTTCTATAAATGTAAAACTCTTGGCCCTCGCCCTTGGCCCTCGCCTTAGAATTCACACTCTTAAGTTTGTGGTGTAGCGACACTCAAAAGAGAGCCAACACCCTACTTGCCCTAACTATATTTTTAGCGAAAGGTAGTAGTGGCAATTTCTAAATGTAAAACTTGGCCACATTCATCATAGTTCTACACCATTATCTTTTGGTGCACAAACCGTTTTTGGCACCGTTGCTGGGGATTGATTGAAGGCAACGTCGTATTTGTGGAATCAATTAAGAATTAGTACTCTTTTGATCGTGTCTTTACTTTGTTTTCATTTTGGTTACTTATTGTGTTGGTTCTTGTTTGACTAGGTGCATTGAAAAAAGGTGAGCAAAGGAGCATTTCAAGCAAGGAGCTAAGCAAAAGCAAAGGAAAAGGCTAAAAATCAAAAAAAAAAATTGCAAGGCTAAAATTGAATTGAAGTGCTAAAGGACCCTTTGTGAGCTCTTTCTTAACTCAATCTCTAGTTAAATCGTCGGTCCGCGTGGACTCTTGTATTTCAATTTTTAGATAAATCGTGAGCCCACGTGGAGGTAATTTACTTTTCTTTGCATATTGTTGATAGCATGGGAGTATGGGATCATTGTATGTGGAGGAAGTTTGTTGATTATTGATTTGTTGCGAAGGTGAAGTGTTTGGTCATTACTTGTTGCTTGTTGTGCTTTGTCGTGAATGCATGTTGTAGATCATTGAGACCCACTCTTATCCCTCTAAATTTTCATCTTGAATCCGTTGTTCAAAACCTTAGAGGAAGAGGAAGTTCTAGTCAATCCATTTCATCAATGGAAGGACATAATGAGGACCATGTTGAGGACCTTGGTCACATAGACCAACAAGGCATCCTCCACCCCAATGTGCATCATGATAACATGCAAGTACCATTAGGTATGCCGAGGCCATTCGTTCATCCACCACAACAATAAAGCCAAGTTCCATTGGGAGTGCCAAGGCTAATCTATGCTCCACCACCTCCCATCATTCAAGGCAATCAAGGTGCCTATGTTGCACCTCCAATTGCTAATCATCCCCTTGCTTTAAGAGATCACTATGTGCCTAATGAATACAATGCACCCACATGCATTCAATTGCCACCATTTAGAGCACACGACTATGAGATCAAACCACAAACCATTCAAATGCTTCCTAACTATCATGGACTTCCAAGTGAAGAACCCTACAAGCATTTGGATGAGTTTCTTAAAGTATGTTCCACCGTGAGATACATGGACATACCGGAAGAGGTTTTAAGGCTTAAACTTTTTCCATTTTCCCTTAAAGACAAGGCAAAATATTGGTTTAACAATCTTAGGCCTTT